ATATACTAGTGTTGACGGACGTTTCCGATCAACGGTTAAAAAGATTAGTAGTGGAAAAGTAATGGGAAAAGATACAAAAAATACGATTTAATTACGATTTTATTAAATGACACGAGGTCGGCCTCTCGTACGAGGTCAGCACTTGCGATGTACTTACAAATTCTTACACGAGTTCCTTACAAACTTAAAGAGAGAAAATGTAGAGAGGGTTTTTACAGTTGGGATTCAACAACCCAAAATAAATGCTCAATATTCCTATTTATAGGGTTCTTAAATGGGGTACTGTTTACGGGTCTTGTCGTACAGTAGTTTGGCAAGACAGGCCGGCGTTTCCCTGACTGATTGGAAGTGATTTCTGGGTCTTCTAATCATTACCTGCAACGCATTTAATGCATGTATGAGCTGCATTTAATGCGGGCATGCCCCTGGGCCGGGCTAGACGTCCTAGACCTGCAGACTAGTCTGGGTTGTCCCATCGACAATCATTGGTTGGCAAGTGACCTTATTTTATTGTCTTCAAGACCGTTAGCTCTCATAAAAAGCCGACCTGATAAGATCCCGAATCAGACTGCACACCAGCTCGTACTTCAGGATCCGCGGTTTCTTCTCCACTTCGGCACTGATCCAGACCGACCTCACAACAGTGGTGTGGAGGTGCGACCTCGCAATTAGGAAAGCGAGGTGCCGACCTCGAGACCGATTCTGACCGCCATACCCGTTGACTTTGACTTTTACTCAGCTCGGCTCCTACGAACAATTTCGATGACCGGCTTCATCAGTCCGGTGGGTCGCCGCCCGGCTCACGGTCTCTCAGACCGTGATCTTCACCGGAGCCCGACTCGGATATCAACAACTAGTAATCAACCTGTGCATTTGCACAGAGACGAATACTTTAAGAACATAAAAATATAAAAAAAACAAAAATAGATCATAATTTAATTCTTGAAAAAAATATGAATTAAAAAAATAATTCTCAAAATTGATTTTGATCAAATAATTTTTATGGAAGAGCCGTTACAACCATTTTCTTTACGCTAATAAACCTGGCAATTTTGATGAGTGGATGTGACTTAAAATTTGAGTACAATTTTGTAACTCCATTGATTGGTTTATGCTCATAATTTATGGTATTCAAGCAAATTATTTTGTAACTTAAAAATGAAATTGAATAATGAAAATTTTGGAGGGAGAACAAAATTTAATGCATTGTAATAAAAATAAATGTTTTGTATCTCCTCTTTATATATACTAGTAATCAACATGTGCATTTGCACAGAGACGAATACTTTAAAAAGATAAAAACATAAAAAAAATCATAATTTAATTCATGAAAAAACAATATGAATTAAGAAAATAATTTTCAAAATTGATTTTGATCAAGTAATTGTTATGGAAGAGCCATTACAACCATTTTCTTTATGCTAATACACCCCACCATTTTCATGAGTGAGTGTAACTTAAAATTTGAGTACAATTTTGTAACTCCCTTCATTGGTTTATGCTCATAATTTATGGCATTCAAACAAGTTATTTTGTAACTTAAAAAATGAAATTGAATGCTGAAAATTTTGGATGGAGAATAAAATTTAATGCATGAGAATATAATTTAATACATGGTAATAAAATGAAATGCTTTGTTGCTCCTCTTTATATATATACAGATATAGATATAGATTTTGAGTCCCATGTTTTTTTTTTTTGCTACCTGTATATAGAAAATATTAGTATTGAGTTGGGCGGCTTGGGCCTATTGTTAATTCCTTTTAGTAGACGTTGATATAAATTGTTATTCATTTATGCCTTTTGTTGTTGGTCTCTTAGTAAAATAGTGTTGTATCTAAAATGTTTGGTTCTTTGTGAGCCTTTTACCTTTGTGTTACGATTCATTAGATGCCAATGTAGTTTGTATTGGCCGGGTAATTGGTTGTATTTCTTTTGAAGCTTTGATAATATTCTATGGATTTGAACGGTGATATAAGTCGTATTTGAAAATAATGTTAAATTAGAGTTTATCTAATGGCATACATACCTCTCTTAATCTTTCATGGGTGATTTCTCAAATGACAGTTATGTGTGACCTAAAATATAACTCGGTAAAATTATTGTTTTAAGAAAAAATTATGTGAAGAAATAAAGTTGTGATGTAAGTATATTTTTGTGTTGATAATTAAAACTATTTTTAAGATTTTGAATAAATATGAAATAAGATGTAATAATTAAAGTTGTGAGATAAATATAGTAAAACAATAATTATATGTTTAAACATATTTGAATTGATAAATATTAAATTTCATCAAAATATTATCGTAATGAATGATATTTAATTTTATTAATAATACGGAGTTCAAAAAAAAAAAAATATAGATAAATAAAAAATTTAGAAAAATGATAATATCTATGTCTCTTATCTTTCTTATCTTATCTCTCTCTTACATATAAGAAAAAGTGGGAGGGATTGTAGGTGTGACACGTGGCTTATTTTTTTCCCAAAATACCCCAGTTTTTGCCCATTTTTTACACCTGCTGCCCGTGCATAATAACTTTTATCAGTCTTTCGGTCAAAGTGTGAGAGCATTTCTTCCTTTTGCTGGATTTCCGCAGGTCAGAGGTAGAGGCCCATTCTTTTCTGGCTTTTGCACGTCTTCTCTGTCACCGAAAAGACGCCTTTTTTTTTAGGCTTTCCCATGTCTTCCCCTGTTCATCCATGGCCGAAAAGACAAAAAGGAGAGGAGAGCTCTCAGTCTTCGTCATTTTTCAATCCCTAACCAAATACATTCTGCGTTTTCTTCAACTCGGGGCGCCGTCTCCAAAGTCGACGGTTCAAGTAGCGTCACCTTCACATCTCCACCGCCGACGGTTCCGGTGGCGTCATCTCCAACATCTCCACCACGACTCCATCTCAGACGCGCGCGTTTCCACTAAAATCTTCTCGGACAGTGCCGCCTCTGAAAGTCCTACCTACTTTGATGGCGAGCACGAGCCCTACTTCAAAATGAAATAGCTTCTTTCCGACCAAGAGAGCAACACTGACGAGGTCTCACCGGAAAAAGAGGTACGATGAAATAATTTTTACTTCAAAATATATTTAGATTTTCTTACCCCATTGGCAATTTGTTTCTCTATCATCGCCTAGCCAAAACCTAATTTCTTTTCTCATACCTACGCACATGAATGAATGTATGTGAGCGAAAAAAACAATGACAACAGGGGGAGACCCGCTGGGGAGGTGAGCCGGCGAGAGATAGAGAGAGATTGAGACCTGGCGGGGCGGCGAGTGACTTTGAGATAGAACGACCCACGAGTAGGGAATTCGCTTCATTCCGGCGCGGTACATTTCGATAGACATGCCTGAACATTTTGGCTTATTTATGCCATAATCAAATTGTGTGTAGGGGGTTCAAACAACTCTGAGGCCTTCCTTTGTCTTTGATTTTTTTTTTCTTTTCTGGTTTTTGTTGCTTCTTGATGATTTGACCGGGTGTAATTTGTTTGTATTTTGTAGGACGCCTCGATTTTTTGCTTTTCTTGGACAACCCGCGTGAGTAATTTTGTACTTGAGAAGTTA